GGAGGGTTCGCCGAGGCCCCGGAGCCGCGGGAGGGGCGGGGGCAGAGCGGGGTCTCTCGGTGCTGACCCGCGCCCCATTCCCGCATTCCCGCATTCCCGCATTCCCGCAGCGGGAGATGGTCTACACTTCCCGGGAATCCTCTCCCACCCGCCGCCTCAACAACCTGTCCCCGGCTCCGCACCTGGCCTCGGGCTCGCCCCCGCCCGTGCTGCAGTCCTCATCGCCATCCCGGTCCCGAATGTCGTACAGCGGGGGCCGCCCGCCCTCGTTCGCCGGCAGCCCGGTGCACCACGGCAGCCTGCCCCCCGCCCCGGGCGTGTCCCCCAGCCCCAGCGCCATCCTGGAGCGCCGCGACGTCAAACCGGACGAGGACCTGGCGGGCAAGAACGTGGTGCTGGTGAAGAACGAGGGGCTGTACGCGGACCCGTACGGGATGGTGCACGAGGGCCGGCTCAGCATCACCTCCACGCAGTCTCTGGCGGGGATGGGGGACCCCTTCGGCTACTCGGGGGGGCTCTACAAGCGCGGCTCCGTGCGCTCGCTCAGCACCTACTCGGCGGCCGCGCTGCAGACSGAGCTGGAGGACACTTTGTACAAACCCAACGCGCCCATCTACAGCGACACGTACGGCCCCGGGATGGGGTTCCGCATGCCGCCCTCGTCCCCGCAGAAGATGGTGGAGCCGGGGCAGAGCCCGCACAGCCCCTACTCGGGCCCGCCCAGCCGCTCGTCGCCCGTCCGCCAGTCCTTCCGCAAGGATTCCTGCTCCTCCGTCTTCATGGACAGCCCCGTGGGCAAAACGCGCAACCCCAGCTCGTCCGGCGCTCCCGAGCTGTTCCCCGGCCCGGGCGAGCGGCCGCTCTCGGGCTTCGGCTCGCCGGGACCGGCCAAGGACACCGAGACCAGGTGGGACGGGCCCGGGGGGTTCAGCTTGGATACCCCGGGGGTTTGGAGGGGAGGAGGAGGAGCAGAGGGAGGAGGAGGAGGAGCAGAGGAAGGCTCTGCCCCGTCCCCAGCGCGGGGGAGGTGCCGGGATGGGGATTGGGGCAGCGGTGAGGGCGGGGGGTGCTGGGTGCCGGGACAGAGGGG